GGAATGAAAAATGAGACCATTGGCTCCCAGACAAATAGCATGGGACAGAAACAGTGCCTGTATCTTAGACAGGGTTTCCTCTCTTCTTTCAGTGAGTCATGAAAGATTAATTTCTGAGCTAAGCTTTTAGTCTTGAAGATTATTTAGCATGAGGAAAGTTAACTGCTGCAATTTCACCTCTCCTTTCTCTGTGTGACTCTAGAGAGACACCAGGTGTTCACTTGGACTATTGTGTTTGCTAAAAATTGTTGCCTTTGTCAGTGTATCACCTCCAAAAATACTGCATGACCACTTCAGTAATAAAAACATGCTTAAAAACCTAGTTTGTGCCCTCCTAGCAGAGCTACTGGAGAATGGGCTTCAAGCATGCTGTGCTCCTTGCAGTGTCTGTACTGTCCTCAGCACCCCCACTGTCTCAATCCATGAGTTAGACTTCCTTCCCTTCATAACCTAATTTACCAACATAACAAGAAAGAGGAGTCATTCAATGAAGGCACTGGGGAGGACAGAAGTGGACGCAAGGAAGTATTCCAAGGGACTAACCCATATCACACCACCAGCTATAATCTAAATGAAGATAGCTGGTAACTTTCGCTTCTTTTCACATCCTTCCTCCCACTTCCATATCAATATAACAAAAAACCCGCTGGACATATTTTCTCCTTCCGAATTGATGTAGATAGCTGTGGTAATGCTCTGACTGTAGAGGTGTCCTTCAGCTCAGGTAGGGCATGCCCCTTCCTGACTCTACGCAATGCCAGTAGTGAAATATTTTTAAGGATGCTGTGTATGTTTGTTGCCAATTATGTACCTAGGCTTGCTCCCATATAGTGTTTTTCCCTCAGGATACTTCTCTCTTGTGATACTCTTGCTGGAGGTCTAGCAATGACCATGCAGTCCAGTCTTTTCCTTCTGCAGTAAAAACATCAATACCTATTTGAACCCTTCAGAATTCATGCATTATATCCTCACCCTTCCTCTAGTCTCCTTAGCTTGGGTGACAGAGTTAAGCTACAGTGCTGTTAGAGACCCTGGTTATAGCTGAAGGCCCAGATGTTGTAGCAGTTATTAAATTGCCCTCCTATATTCCCTCTGTAATGACTGGGAGGTTGATAGATGTGGGCTCTCAGAAGCCAACATGACCTAAGCAGGTGAGAAACTAATCCACCAACAAAGCAGAAAAGGAGAGGAGGAACAGAACTGTCTAATTTTTCAACAGGCTAGACACACTCCCTGTTTTCTTGCGAAATCAGGATAATAATGTTCTTCTGAGGGCTGTTAGCAGAAAATTATTCCTGCAAAACTAGGATGGGTCTCTGAGCACCACTACTGGGATGACACCTATAGTTACCCAGCCTTCACAGTAATGAGTCAGTCCTTCATGTTCTATTACACATGTTCTGCTCATGCTCTATCTACATGTTCTGCTGTCTGCTATAGGCATAAACATTTGTAATACTGCCTTCATAATAAAATCACAGACTGCTTTTTTTTTTCCTGCAAATATAGAGGAGCTATGATGAAGACAGAATGCATAAGCATCCACAATAAAGCGTAAGAGAGATCCAACTGTAACACTTACTTGTTTTCCTGCTCCATTATACCCACAGATCCAAGAAATGGTCAAGCCTTCGCCCATCCACAGTCAATTTTTTCTCTTCTTCCTCAACAATACAACACACCTCTTCCTCACCCAGACACTAGTCACAACTGGGTTGAATAAATCAGGGCCTTCCTGTGATTTCTCTTGGTAGAAGATCTAAAATTCAGCATTTGGTCTCCTCTAGGGTTGCAGAGGGAGACTGTTGGCTGTGAGGGTACCTGTGAGCACAGCCCTGATGCCTTCCTGACTTCCAGCTGACTCAGAAACAGCCTGCAGAGACTGTACAAGCCAGACACAGTCAGGGGCACACCGACTGGACATGCCTAAGCACACAGGACCTTTAGGTGCTGCAGACTGCAATCTAGCTCAGTTTTAGGCCATGCTCACAGATTTACTTTTTCTATGTGAGGTGAATCTGGTCTTGATGGTAGAGTGGAAGTTGCTGTTAGCAGGCAATACAGAGACATGCTCTCTTTTCTTTACATGGTCATTATTTCCCCAGAGCTTTGTGAGAACGTAAGTGGCTCATGTGTCAGCTGTGCTCAACACAGCCACCTCTGAAACACTCCTGTCCTTGCACAGACAGCTCTGTGGATGGTATATGAATCAATCCTGCTACTAGGGCACAGATAGTCTCGTATCATTTTACCTTGTACTCTGCTCTACTGCCTGCCTGCCCCTCAGTCCCACTCTCTGAGGAAAGCCATGTTTACTTCTCACTCGTTTTTCAGAAATCTTTCATAGGAGCCACTGTTTGCTACAATGTGAAAACACTATCAGCTTCCTGTCCACAACACAGCTTATTCCACTCAGGGAGCAAGAAGCAACTTTCCAGAGACACAAATAGGAGTGAGGTGCCCAAGATCATCTCACATAAACTATAGTATTACCTAAAAAGGTTGGATCAGATGATCCTTGACGTCCCTTCCAACCCAGCATTCTATGATTCTATGAAGTCTTTTAAAACATTAGAGGGAGTTGGTTTATTTACATGTAAATCTCCACTGACTACTCTAGGAGCTAGTTTAGGGGTCGGCTGGAGACGACAGCAGGATAGCCTTTAACACACAGGGTACTGGACTGTTTTGATTCTCCCATTCCACAACAATTTGCACAGTGGCAATCTGAGAGTAGGTGGTATTTACTTACAGAGATGATATGTCCTTTCAAGCCATGTGCAGAGTCTGCACACTCAATAACAGCGCTTAGCTGTGGATAGCCCACCCCTGTCTTAATCCGAGTGGTACACACAGAACCTAGACAAGAGAATGAGAGGAAAAAACACCACCCATTAGGCTGACAGAAAGGATACAGTTTGTTCTTTTGTGGAAAAAAGGTATTTCGGTATTAGTTGTTCCTTCAAGAAATTTCTACTACCAATGTTGGCTTTTCATGGATAAAAGATACACATAGGAACTTGAGTTTTGAAATGATACCACATCACTTCATGGGAGCTGTAACTGAGGTAACTAATATCCCCACTTTCTTCCCCACAATTCCCAGTTTGGTTATCATCAGTAATGCTTTCCAGTAAGAGATTTACTGTATCACAAGAGATCAAATCTGACTGAGGTGCTGGAAGAGAAAGGAGACAAAAGGTCCAGCATCAAAACCTCTGAGACTCAGTGGCAGCATTTAATACCTAAATATTTATTCCAATAAATACTTCTCTCTCTTTTCTACATATGGTTTTAAATAATTCTCAGGGGAAACCTGTGCTTTTATTTAATTATTTTTTTAAAGCAATTTTCACAAGGGAGAGAAACCCAGCTTTTGCCTAATACCCAAAGCAAAAATACTTGATTGATTGCAATAGTTAAGAATATAAGAAAATCAGCATATACCATTTAAAAAGTGAGAGAAGCAATCACCAGAAAGCTGTATAGCGTAATATTACAGGAAATACACTAATTACATCTGATTATTGAACTATATTATTTAAACATAGACATGGTGCGCATATATATGTATGTAGATATAAAAATAAAGGTATATACATCTATAGAAAAAGCTAACTTCAATGATAGTTCAATATTGTAACATGGCTATAGATCTTTTAGAATAGCTGCTCTGTTATTCTCGAATTAAGAGTCAAAGTGAGGACTGCTTTTTGCCAGTCCAGATTATCTAATTTAGGATACAGACCATACAGGACTGCATGATAACAATAATTTCAAAACAGACTCTAAACCAAAGGGAGCAAAATCTGGATCCCTTCACCCAGCTGATAACTGGTTATACTTGAGCTACCAGTAAAATAAGTTTCCAAAGGCCTTTCAACGAACTGACAAAGCGAAAACACTGAGAAGTAGTTCTGAAAAGTAGAAAAAAATTAATTTTAAAACAATCTCCACAGGGTATGTATTTACATATGTAACGCTTTATAATAAATCACTGTCACTTTCCACAGGATGCACCATTATCTGGAAAAGAGTCCCAAAATCTGATCTGCTGTGAGGAATGTTTTTTACTTGTGGTTTTGGGCAGTAAACTTGTACAGAGCTGCTCAGGAAGATCTCCAGAGAGGGCTACACAGTATTTATTACTAACTAACTCTGAAGCCACAAACAATAACATTTCTTCTTTTTTATCTGAACTTGCCTGTGACAACTGCACCACGACATCTCTGGTTTTTATAATTTACAAATTTTGCAATATTTATTGTTGTTTGCTGTCTTCCTGAGCACAACTGCAACCTTTATTACATTGTTTGCTCTGTTCCAAGTTATACATTCATGGACCATAACTATTTGGCATTGTAAACAATCTGCCTGCACTGCCCTGGCTAATCACAGCTGTATTGCCAGTGGCACTTGTGTTAGCCAGTTTAAAATCTAGTCCACATACAGTGACCCCAGATGCAGTCTTAAGAAGAAAATTACAAGAGGAAGGAGCACATGAAGACATGCACAAGGAAGGAAAAGAGAAGCCAGTATGGCAGCACATGCCCGACAACAATATTAGGGAAGGTAGGAAAAACACTGTAAGAAGTCTATGGTCCCCGTATTTATCCATGGGAATGTTACAGTGATAGGTAACATAAAAGTGCACTAATGTAAGTTTTAGCTCCCAGGCAATAGTAACAGATTGAGGCAATGTTATCCCTTGCTTCACACTTAATTAATGACTTCATATTTGAATACATTGACAAGATGGGCAACCCCAGCTTAAGAGAACACAAATCATGAAGCTGTTTAGAAACTTATCTTTCCTTGATAGAAGTGGATACCTGAACGCAGTATCCTTTGAGCTGGGATGAGGCTAGAAAAATTGTTCCTAAACACAACATGTACTATCAGTGATAATGTCGGCAACTCAGTGCAATAATAAGCATCTTCACTGCAGGTGGAATATATAATACTTTGCAGTATGAACTACTAGGATCCTGTCCATGTATTTCTTAAATATGCTATGTGCAAGGGCACTGTTATTTTATTGACCTGACAAGAGTCCAGGCATCTTAATGGGTAATCAAACAGTATTATGCACCAGTTCCATCTGGACAACTCCTCCACCAGTGTTGCCATAAGTCACCTTTTATGACTGGATTTGACTTACCTGGTCCGATACCCACTTTAATAACATCTGCTCCAGAAAGAATAAGTTCTTCTACCATCTCTCCTGTCACCACATTGCCTGCCTAGACAGAAGGAACAATATCACATATATGGTGATTTCAAGACTACCGCAGTAAAGACGAATGATGATAACGCAGAGTTTTAATCAAAGCTTTTATGAGTTGAACTATATAGTCAGGAAGAATATAGTTCACCATACTGTTCATTGTGCACGCCACAGAGATCAAACAAATCATTCAGGTAGATTGTCAAGTCAAACTAATGTCATGATTAGTCCAGTAAACCCTGATCCTGAGCAATGATGCTGTAATTGTGCCCATCTCTGCCCCTCTCTCCTGGATGGGCCTGGGACCTGCACTGCAGAGACCTGCTCTCCTGGATGGGCCCCTCAGACCTCGGTCATACCTTCTCATGCATAACTATATTAATGGCACAGCACAACTGTTCTATTCTGCTCTGTTCTATTTTCTATGCTCACTATGAGTTGAATAATGATAAGACTAATTTTTGTCTTAAGTAGCAGGTGTTTTTCAGCTCCAAAAACAATTTTAAGGACACAAATCAAAAAGGTTACAAGTAGAAACAGGATTTTACTTTTAGATTTTATCCCATTTCATGTTACTTTATGGAATCTGCTTCAGAATCAATGCTCACAAGCATCAACACCAGGCATATATGTAGCCAGGATCAGGATGATGCACGCTTCAACTTAGCTTGAAAACCAACCCTTGCAATCTGGCAAAGGCAAATGACACAGCTGCAGGAGTAGCAGCAGGAACACAGGCCAAGCAATCCATGTTTCCTGAAGAATGAGAACATGAAGAATGAAGATTGGTACCAACCACACATGAAAGAAGAAGAAGAAGAGGAAGGTGTGTGGTACCATGGGGTATTTTCCAAAGTAGGACATGTAGTGGTAACAAGCATCCTTTTTGCCTTCCAAAGCTTTCTCCATTGTGCTTCTGGGCCAGTGCCACATGATGAGTGCTCTTGTGCCTGCCCTGTGCTTCTATTGCAGGGGGAGCTAAACAGTGGCAGCTCCAGATAGTGCAGCCACCCTGGAGCCCTTTTTCCATGCACAGGTTATTTTGCACCCAGAGATAGAAATAGAGCCAAGAGAAGAGCAGAAGGGAAACACAAGCAAGAGAGCCCAAGAGAGCCAGGGCACAAGTAGCACTGTGGAGGTGCAAGAGCAGCAGGTAAGAAGCTGGCCAAAAGGGCCCAGAGGATCCTGATCAATGCTACAGAGGACAAGAAGCAACCCTCAGGGACCACTCTCAGAGTCTGAGAAAGCTTCCTCCCCCCGGATGCAGGGCACGAGGGCCACCTTCGTGGTGCAGGAGCAGCAGGCACCTGGCCAAAATGGCCCAAAGGAGCCTGGGCAAGGAGCTGTGCTCTGTGCTGCAGAGGAAGGCAAAAAAATCCCAGGGACACTTACTAGCCCATTGTGACCAGCTGGTTATGCTGTTTGATGCACCCCAGGACACAGTTTGACCTCTGGGATGCCAGGGCACCCAGCTGGCTCACACTGACCCTGCTGCTGACCAGCACCCCCAGATCCTTTCATGCAGGGCTGCTCTCCAGCCATCCCTCCCACAATTTACATTTGCTTCCACCTCAGGTGCAGGATCTGGCATTTGGACTTGTTAAAATTTAATGCTACTGATGACTGCCCAATGCTCCAATCTATTTAGATTCTTTTGCAAGGCCTCTTGTCCCTTGAGAGAGTCAAGAGCAGCTCCCAGTTTAGTATTACCAGCAAACTGGCTGATGGCACACTCAACTTCTGTCTCCAGGTCATTGATAAAAATATTCAAAAGAACTGGCCCTCGAATCGAGCCCTGAGGGACACCACTGGTGGTGGATCACCAATCAGATGTAGCCCATTCACTGCAAGCCTTCGAGCTCTGCTCTTCAGCTAGTTCTTCACCCGGCACACCACGTACCTGTTCATGTTACAGCTGGACAACTTGTTCAGAAAGATGCTGTGAGGGATAGTATCAATAGCCTTACTAAAATCCAGACAGAAAAACTTCATACACTGCCTTCCCTTCATCCGCTAAGCAAGTGACCTTACCATAGAAGGGTATTAAAAAGGACCATCCCTTTGTGAACACATATTGGCTATGCTTTAAAATTGCAATTGTTCTATAAATATCTTTCAATATCACCCAATATGATCTTCTACATAATTATCCCAGCTCCTGAGACTACAGTCACAGGTTCCCAGGTCTTCCCTGACACCTTTCTTGTAAATTAGAATAATGTTGGCTAGGTATCTGTCAGCAGGGACCTCCCCAACCTCTCAACACATTTGTTAAGTGATTGGGAGGGGACCTGCTGTAACACTCACTAGCTCCTTCAGTACTTTGGCATAAATCCCATCATGCCCAACAACCCATTAGACATTTGAAATCCAAGTATGGTTTGATTTCAGCTCTGAGGCTTGTCTCATTTCTATGGCTTGTTCTAGAAAAAGTTGCACAAAATAGATCTGCATGAAACACAAGTCCAGTTGCCCACATCACCTGTTTTGCAGTTATTACTGAGATGGGAACTTCTTTTGTGGAGATCTGAATTTAGCATCTAGAGATGTTCATAAAACCTCTTACACAATGATATTCCAGGAATTAGCAAGTGTTTGCAGCAGCACTGATATGGGTAGAGCAAATCCTATAAACCTTACTATTTTATTATTTTTTACTGAAACAAAACTTCTGTTGAAGTCAACAGGAACCATCCAGAGAATGCTGGATAAGGCCTAGTCTCCACTTAGTGATTTTTGGCTCCTGTTTCACCATTTATTTATTTTTAATTTATTGTACTTCTCTCTTTTATTAGCCTGAAACAGCTCACAAGTCACCACCTGAGGCACTCATAAAAACAGTGATACTGTTAGGTAGCCATTTTTGGTCTTTGACACAGGAGCACTGAACTTCACTCAAAACTGCATGATATTGATTAAAAATAAAATAATATAGAAGAGACAGGAAGTAAAGAGTATATAATAGGCACAGTGCCTCCAGCCAAGTGCTGCTTCCTTTCAGCTCAGTGGCAATTTTTTACACTAAGTGTTGTAGACTCCAAGGTGGGGTGACAGAGTGCATGCTGCTTACAACAGTTAAGAGGCATTTTATGTCTGGAAGGCAGATGACTACCTGTGTAGTATGACATGCAGCACATTACAACTTGGTGAAATTCTGGAGTACCTGCAACAGATTCATAAACAAGAATGAATGGATACTAAAGTCAGTGGGTCCATCAATTTTGGGATCAAATACGTATTTAACTTAAGCAGCAGTGTCTTCTTATTAACAGAGCATAATGGATTGCCAAACTATCTATTCAGAAATGTTAAACAGATGTTTAATGTTAAGTTATTGCTAGAGAATGTTGGAACTGAATGTGTTGATTCAAAATCCTCATCCTAGCAAGGAAAACCACCTATGTCCCCAGCATGTATTTTTTCCTGGAATCCATGTAGATACATTCGTGGTTTCTATGTTTCTGCATCTGCAGATCCTTAACAGATCTTCAGGGAAGATGTAGAACTTTATATAGAGAGCAACCTGACAATGACAGGCTTGCTTCTTTTAGGTACCTTTTGCAGACTTCAGCACAAAAAAATCCCCACTATGTGAGAGGTACAATTATCTCTGTGAAGAGATCCTAGTACCACAGCTGAGGAGCAGGGAAAGCAGTTTTCTCACATCCAGCTGAATTCTACTTCCACTGAAACCAATGCTTGCTTTACCACTGATTCCAGTATGACATCTGAATAGAAGTAAATGGGCTTTGGAGAGCCCCAACTGCAAGATAAAGCCAGAATATTTCAACTAAAACACACCAGTAAAGGTGAATACATAAAGACTGAGACTACAGAGATTAAACCCCCTTAAAATTAAGTAAGAATATGAAGCAAGTAAAGTAACTGGAACTTGTACAAAGAAACCACTACAGACAATACATTTTGTAGTGCATTTGGGCAAGCAGTCAGGCAACATAATAATTGGAAGCACTGTGCTAGTGAAAACCACACTCATCTTAATGATGAATCCATGCACCAACACATTTCTAATCTGCTGCAGAACTGGCCTTCTTGAAGGAGATACAGCCCAGTAATTACCTTACTGCTAATCTAACTTTGCTACCCCTGCCAGTAAAATAACAGCACCAGTAACAACTGCTAGTCAGGTAAGCTACCATGCTTTCATTGTGGTCAGTTATTAGGGGCTACAACAAACTACCCTGGCTGTGGGCCTGGCCTTACACACTCTGCAACATTCAGCTGTACCATCATCACTCAGTGTGAAGTTTCAAGTGAGCATCACTCTAGCTCATTCCAGCACTATCCAGGATGACTGGACTGTGGGTCAGTCCTGAGGGAAATCCTGGACTCAGAGAAGCCAAAGGGAGTTCACTGCTGTCTTTAATGGGATCAAGATTTCACCTAACAGGATTATAAAGGCTACAGCTTCTCTGACAGAGATACAAAATTAGTGAACACAGCAGGACGGTGCCTCTGAATTTCAGTCAGGCATTTGATACTGTGCCTCATAAAAGCTTGCTATAAATATCAACTCACACTAAGACAGGAACACTGCTGCACTGATTGAAATCTGCTGGCAAATGGCAATGGATCAAGCTGGGGAGAAGTGTCTGTGACAACAGTTCTCAAACTTTCTTCTTGTATTCTAGAGGAAAGCACAGTCTGTGCCTCCACACTATGAGGAACACTGCCAAAGGACACTTCCCACCTACTAAAGCAAGGGGTGCTTTACCATGAGATGAAGGGATTATGCCCTTTGTGAGGCTGAGTGGTACCAGGTGGGTGTTTGCACTCAGTATTATGACTGACCCAAGACAGCCAAGGCAGCATCTCTGTCTCCTAACCTGGGATCCCAGCTGACTCTTCCCTGAGACCCCAATCCTTTTAGACACACCCTGACAGGAATGACTTGGCTGCTTGTCCCAAAAACAAACTGGGAGGGGAGTCTGCATGGCTTTCTCTGACTGAATTCTGCCTCCATTAAGACCCTGAGAAGTTCTGCTCCAAAGGGAGCAACAGTTATGGACCCTGCTGTTTTCCTCTGCCTCTGCTTTGCAATTCCACTTGCCTTGCTCTCTGGCCCACATCTTGTGTGTGCTACTGCATCTGCAAGTGGGTTCCTGCCCCAACTTTTCCCTTCTGCCACACTTCCTGGTTCCCCCCCTACAGTTTCTTCTGTACAACGAACACAGAACTCTACAAAAAAAATTCAGAATAAAAACTTTGCAAAGCTTGCTGACTAATGTATCTTAGCTTGCTAAACAGACCGCCAATGAAACGGAAGAATGCTAACACCTACAATTACACTAATAAATAAGGACTGTGCTTACTGCAATACAAAGGCTCTGACCCTCTATCATGAATGTCAACTGAAGTTTTGCTTTTGACTTCAGTGAGTAGGCACAACCCAAGCACATGATATTGTGCTACAGCAAAACACCCCATTGGACCACTATTCTTGGTCCTGGGAAGTAGTGGTGCACTTGTGAGACTCTTGTGAGATTTGAATGCTGCTTCTTCTTCCATCCTCAGTCTAACGCGTGATTTAAGGCAACTCATATTGTACCTTTGTGCCTTTGTTTTGTCTTCCCTATCCTTTGTGTTCCATGGAGAAACTTAACTTCTTTGTAAATATGAAAGCAGGAGTGAAAAGAATGTGTGTCAGAACCAGGAAGAAGAAAATAAGGTAATGTGATTATGAAAGCAAGCATTTAAAAAGGCAAAAACATGCATTTTAAAGGTTGTGACACAAGAAACATCATCCAACTGCTCTGGAGTATCAGGCACAGAGAGTACTACGTTCAGCACACTTGCTTTGACATCACCTTTCAGCCTCAGAGCTGAACCCATTACATGGCTCCTGGGAACACTTTCCCTGAGATCCAGGGTTGGGTTACTGTTACATACTGCACTGCAGCTGACTGTGGAATGAATGGCCATGCTGAGGAAAGCAAACAAGACAGCCTGCAAGGTCCTGGAGATCACTTTCAGCTATGAGAAAGCTGCTTTATTTTTATACCTTCTATTTAACTGCTAGCCCTTTTGTTTAAAAGACACAGTGGTGGAAAGCATAGCTCGGAGACAGCAAAGCAGACGGAACAGGTAGCAGCAGGACAGTCTTCCAGAGTAACATAAAAAGGAGACTAGACAAGCTCCTGCATTTCAGCCAGGAATAGTTTCAAAAGGCCATTTTTGGCACAGAGTGTAAAGTAAACTCATTTAGAAGTGGGGTAGAGGTGTGCGTCCCTAGTTCAATCAGAGATTTTCAGGGATTGCACAGTCTTGAGGCTTTGGAAAACAGGTTTTTGAACACCTCAAGTTTGTTAGCATGCTTTCAGGAATGGAAATTATCCTTATGCAGGAGATTAAAAACTTAAGTCATACTAAATGAAGCTCAGAGAAAGGAGAAACAATCAGAGAAGACAACTGAACAGGTCAGAGCTGTATACATGCTCAAGCAGGTGGTGCTGTCAGGATAAAGAGACTCGAAGTTAACAATAGCCTTAGTCACAGAAGCAGAGAAACTAAGCAGGTAGCTTTACAGATGTAGGAGGTGAATGAGACTGGTTTATGGATGTCAAGACTAACATCTGGGCTTCATATCTGACTTTGACACTGACCTCCTATGCCTCCTGGGCAATTCATCTTAGTTGAGTTCCCTCCCTCAATCAGCAAAATCAGCAGGCTGTGAGGAGTTGAGAAGGGGGTGACACACAATTTTCTTTCTGCTCCTGATAGGGAAGATTTTTTATTTTTTTTAATTATGTGGTTTAAGTTCCCTCCCACAACTCTTGAAGCCAAAAACAATGGAGTAATCAAGTCACTAGGGACAGTAGTTCAGAAGCAAGGAAACAGCTCCTTCCCTCACTGCAGGGAACATGGAGCAGGAAGCTCAAGAAGTCCGCATCTATCATTTCAGGCTGCCAAAAGGTCTCTCCAAAGCCATGGGAAATATGGCCAAGGCAAAAATGTTCCCACATTTGCTGGCAGAAGGCATTCCAGCCCACTTCCATTTTCCAATGCCATCATCACTCAGAGGCAACAACACTGCCTTCCTCTGACAGGGGATGAAGGAATGTCGTCTCCCCTGAGCAGCTCAACATGCAGTTCCCTCTTGAACCAAGTCAGAGTGTGCACTTAGGACCATTTTTACTTCACATTTATTTTACATGTGTGTGAAGCGTTCTGTTTGAAAAAGTGAGAAAGTACTGCCTAAGCACATGATTTTTTGCTGCAGTGGCTTGAAGAAAGGCTGATAGCCTCACAAAGAATCTGCTGCTTTGAGGATTTCTGCTATTCTCATGGAAACAAATTCAGACCCCTTTCTTTAAGGACCCTGGGAAACAAGAAGAAACAGCAGGACTGTGCTGCAAGGAGTCTGGTGTTTATGAAAACACTCTACTCTTGGTGCAAAAGGGCTGGAGGAAGCATGGTATTAGCACTTTGAGAAGGGACAGTGACACCACAGAAGGCACATGAAAAGCACCAGCATTGACTGCTTTGCTCCCTAATGACCCCATTCACAATTGCACAACAGTCCAGTGATTCTTATCATGAGCAAGGATTATTCTACATTCAGCTGTCTTCACAGTGATCTAACAGACTGAAACAACCATTGGCCTCAACTGGCCAGAAACGTTAGCACATTCCTGCAGCAAACCTCAGCTTGGAATCACCAAAATAAACCTACAGGCTTTAAGATTAGAGGTCCCATCTGCTAGGGGAAAAGGAAGATAAGAGGAGGAAAAAAATTGGATCAACCCAGCCTGCCATGCCAACAACAAACTGCTGTATCAGAGCACACATTGAACATCCCCACAGAAACTATCAGCAATGGAAGACTGACAAGACCAACATATTATTAAAGTCATCATTTGGCTCAGCTACCATCTTATTGAATTTAAACGGTAGATGAATAGAGCTGTTCACTATATTTTTAGAAGGGTATTGTATTTTTAAGACAAGAGGTTTGAGTCACTTGTTTTATTCCTGTTTTTTTTCCAACGAAGACTCAGAAATTGATGGAGCTGCCACAAAGCTCCTGAGGACTACCAGCCAACAGGACTACTCAGGGTCCTGTTCCTGGACAGAATTCTCACACACACCCTCCACCCTTTCTACACACTTACCATAATTGTGTGATGCGGAAACAGGTCACGGACAGTCTTCACAAACTCCACAAAGTGCTCTGAATAGCCATTTGCCACATCCAGACAGATGTATCTTATAGGTGGAATGGCCTCTAGAATTCTTGTTAACTTGTCCAAATCAGCTTTTCCACTACCTGAGCTTACTGCTACATGCTAGAAAGACAGGGAGAACAAAAGGGAGCAGTAGTTTGTGAAAACTGGGATAAACACACACTTCTGCATAGCCCTGGGGGGAACTTGAGCTGGAGACTAGTCAAAATCAAACCATTATACTATGAAATAAATACCTTCCTGGGAATATCAATGTGTTACTTCTGGTTTCACTTAAAGACCCTAAAATAAAGAAAAAATAGCATTTTATCAGCTCTTCATTCACTAGTGGATTCTCATAGGCAAATATAATCACCTGAGATGGACAAAGGCTCAGCCATACTCTTATTAATACAAACACAGAAGAACATCTTACTTGATACATTTCCAGGAAGGCAGAGTGACAAAATTTGAGGCACTGTCACAGGGTCAAATCTGCATCTTTAAGTTCACCAAACACTCCCTTGATCTACAATCACAGAACCGTTGAAGTTTGGAAGGGACCTCCAGAGATTGTGCAGTCCAACCCTCTTGCTCAAGCAAGGTCAGCTACCATTGAAAACAAGCAGATTGCTTCCTCCTTTGTCTTCCTAGGAGTTCCTTCCAATAGAAAAATAGTTTCCACAGCTGTTGGCCCAAAAAACCTCTGCATAGATCCAAGGTCACACAGCAAGTCAGTATTTAATCACTATGAGATCCTACTCCAGTAATTATGAACCACAAATGAGCTAAGTGCCAAAGTGTTTAGGCACGGGATATTCCTGGGACCACTTTCTACTGTACAGTCATATAAGCTACCCTGATCAATCTAAGTGATAGGCTGGCTTTCAGACAATCTTGTAATTAATGATCTTTATAACATAATTCTAAAATATGCCACAGACAAAGATACAATACAGCTGTGTGGTATGCTTTCCTATGCAGAAAGTTTCAAAACTGCACTGAACTCTGAGGAGGAGGGGACACATACAGGCACACTCTTATACTGCCTCAATGTAGGGGCCTGCCAAAAGAACACAGAAAAAATCTGGATAGGAAAAAGTCAAAAACTCAAGTAAATTATGAAATGGTGGTTCTCTGTAAAGGCTCAGGCTAGGCCCTCTGAACAAGTGAGGCAGAACAGTTAGCAGCAGCACTATGTGAGCTCTAGTGCAAGGAGGTAAATGGATAACACACATGCTCTGACCACTCTCAATGCTCCTCCCTGCTTAGGCACCAGCACCTGGGCCCCTCCAACTGTGTCTGCTTGCACACCCAATAGCAAAGACTCTGCACAGCACAAGCATGTGCAGGTCCAGCTTGTGATCGGGTTACTCAAAGCTGTTCCCATTTGTGGTCTTAAGCTTCTCCCTCATCAGCACTACCACAGCTCCCAACAGCAACAGAAGCACAGCAGTTAAGACCTACTTCCAAGTATCTCTTTCTTCCTTGCTCTGGATACTTTCTTATTTCCAGGCAGTTATAAACTTCTTTTTGCATCTTAATGTAAGCACTTCCATAGTGGACTCAAATAGCTATCTTTTTTTTAAAACTGGACAAGCCACTTCCATTGCTGCATTTAAGAGCACCAAATATCTTAATTCCCCAAAACCTCACCTGACAACAGTGCTCCCAAGAGGCTTCAGTGTATGTGAGCTCAGAACAAAGCAATAAACCATAATAATTTACAGTACAAAAATGTACCTCAAGGCATTCTGGGTGATTGGCAGCAAACAGTTTCCATTCTTCCAGAGAATAATGCTTGTGAATTGCGGTGAACATTGCATGCTAGCAAAAATAAAAAAACTGATATTAATGTCCAGGGTAGCTATCCTTCCCTCAGCTGCAGAACAACAAGGTATCAGAAATTCCCATTTAAAGTATAGGCTCAGGCTGCTTCAGAGAAACCATATACAGTGAATAACAGGCCAGGCAAGTGCAAATGGCTCCTTAATGGTAACTTAACATACTTACCTGACCTTTCAGGATCAGGTTTCTGATGTGTTTCCTGACATTACAGTCAATATTTTAAATGTGCTTAAGCACTGCAAGAAATTAAGGTGAGCCTTGAGGCCAGAGGCTAATTAACTAGTGACTCCAAACTGCTGCAACTTTATCCAGTAAGCTACACTTCCAAAACTGTTGTAAGCTAATAGTTGTTGTTGTTGGGTTTTTTTTTTTCTGGAAGGGAGCACAATATAGGCCTCAAAAGCTAAGCTCTAAAAGCTGAGTTACACCCAAGTTAGAAGCTTCCCAGTAAGCATCTCAACTGAAGCATCTCACATCTGGAAACTTTTCTCTGGTAAGCATATTGCTGTAAATGCACAGCTGTTTTGCAGTGAAAACACACCTTCTTGTTCTGGATTTTTTAGTCCATGCCCACCCTGTTCTCCAAAAAAGCATGGCTAGAAGTTAGCAAAGGCTTCCCAATCACTCAGTGACTTCCCCATAATTGTAGAAATGAGGATCAATACTTACTTTTGCCATGACCACAGCCATTTCAAATGTCCCCACAGTGTCCATGTTTGCCACTATAATGGGAATTCCTGTGTATGTCTGCTTGGAGTTGCGGAAGGTAAAGGTGCGCGTGAGGTCGACCTGCAGGGAAAAGGCACACAGTCCTTCAAGTAATTGATTGCAATGCAACAAGATCTTTGCCACTGACTTCAAGTAGAACAGGTTTGGATGCTGCTTCTCAGTTTTCCTCAGTTTTTCAGTCCACTATTACCTCACTTTATTTACTTCTTTTGTTACAACTTCTGCCTTCCAAGTACGAAACAAAATAGAAAATATTTTTTCTGTGTTAAAGAGAGTTCTTGCTGAAGAAAAAGCTGATTTTTTAATTTTTTTTTTTGTAAAAGAAAGAAACAAGTCAGAAGGGGTTAGAAAGGAAAGAAAGCAAAAAGTGGACTGTGTATTATTTTATACAGAAGTAACCTCAGCTGTTTGTTTGGCTGCCTGAGAAACCTAAGTCGAAGTCCTAACTCCATACATGTCTGAACTGGAACTCCCTACGTCTCCAGAGTACAGAGAGTTTTCTCCCGATCTTCAATGCAAATGACAATATAATAAAGCAGGCTTTTACTTTTCACTGTGGTTACCAGCACTCTTGCCCTACAATACAAACAATCATAACCTGGCTTACTAAGCCATGAGGCTGCTATACACTTTGTATAAGCTCACAGTGAAAGGGTCACTTTGATGAACAAGCTAAGATACATCTTAAAGGAGACTTCTACTTCTTCCCATTTACTATCTGAAAGGCCCAATTCTCCACCCATCACTGATGACATAACATTCTTATGAGAAATTTGGCTGCAGCTAATATGAGAAAATAGTATGAAGAATACATACATTAAATAAGTATGAAAAATTAATGTATTTTACTCCCTTTGAACGCAATTTATTAACTAGAACCAAGGGAGGGGAAAAAGACTATCACACAACCAGTGTGATAGAGACAACAGTCTCAAAATCACCGCCTCACAGTTTTATGGAGGAAAAACATCTCTTTCAAATGAACTTTAAAAAAAAGTAGAGAAGAAGAGTATGTTTAAGAAAAGACTGAGGTTAAGATGCAAAAGGAACACAAGCCTATTACTCTCAGTGATTCTCACCCTTCCCCCCCTTAATAGAACTTCTCGTATGTGACTTCATTTAGCCAGTGGGTCAGATTGATCTCACGCAATTATCTACACAACTTACAATACAGCAATGGCAGGCATTTATGAGGGATAAGTGTGGGGTTCTCCTACTGAGGCTTTTGTTCTGTAAGAACAGGTGAAATGGCACACTGAGCTGGAGATGTTTATGTGGTGCCCTGGTTCTTCAAACTGCCAGTTACCAGACGTGGAAAGAGAACGTAAGAACAAGGCTAGTTTCGTGAACCTGCTTCCCTAGCCTACCCTCCCAGGTTCCAAGAAGCTGATGTTTAGACACCTTCAAAGACAAAGGTCTCCTCCAATCCATTGTACTTAACAGCCACTCATGGACAAAGAATGTGCCTTGAAAGTTTTTTAAACATTCACACCTTTAGCCTCTCCCATATACCACAGCAATAAATTCCGAAGATGAGTTACATGATGCATAAAAACGACAACCTTTGCCTGATAATTACATTCAGTGCTTCCTTCTTCTCGTTTCTCGTAAGACATAATCAACAGCTACTTCTGGTTCACCTTTTCCATTCCACTTTTCACTTCATAGACTTACAGCATATCCTCCAGAACTGCTGCTTCTTCATCTGAATAGTTCTACAGTTTACATTTTCTTCCTCATAGAAATCAGTCAACACTGCTGATCATCCTGGCTGCCATTCTCTGTATTTATTTTAGCATATTATGCTGTTCTTTTAAAGGAATCACCAGACCTGTGTACTCAAGATGAACTTACCGAGGAGCTATCACATAGCTCACTAGTTTTCCTTAGCTCCTCTAGTAGCACTTCTGACCATCTCTTTGTCTCTTTCCTGAGGTGCTATCAGCTAATTTATAGCTTATTGTTTTATGCATTATGAGAACATAACTTCTGACTCTAGGATTGCTCACAATCACTCAACTACAGTAAAAGTTTCTTTAGAAAGAAAATAATTATATATTTTATAACACCTACCTAGACCATTTGACATCTGAAAGTAGTAGGCCATTGGCTGTTCTGTTAAAGCTCCCTCAAAGTCTTTTAATTTACAAATTTAAACTAATGGCTAGACTTCCTACAGGACACTTAAGGTGAACTTAAAATGGACAACCTGCAAAGGCAAGTCCAGCAAAGGCAAGAATAGCAGGCTACATGAGTACCAAGATCCCACAGACAGGTAACACTGCTTCCACTCCAACCATTGCTTCAAACAATTTTGACACGTGAATTCAAGCATCACATTTTCTAGTATCTTCTCTTAAAGAGAAAGCAATTATGGAAAACTAAGACAGTACTGACACGGCAGACCTACAGGAGCTGCAAACACCCTGAAGTGCCTCTCCAAGAGGATGACTTCATCCTAGTTACTGTGTAAAAAGCTATCCTTGTGCAAAACAAGGCATTCACACCAGAGCAGCAGAAGCTTGCTGATACAAGCTTCAAAGCAGCCGCTTGCTGGGTAACAGGCACTGCAGTATTCTGCCTCTGCTCCTCTGACAGAACTATTTATTTATATTCTTGTTTTGAAGCAGACTAGGGCTGTCCATTTCAGATCTGGCTCTCAGACACTGTTTATTCCTGTTGCTACAGCCTCAGTGATGGTGTCCAGTTTCTTAACCTTCATCAGTTTTCACTGACCTCCCTCATGACATGCACTTTTTCTCATGTGAAATGTTTTTAACAGTCCATCATAGACACCAGTTACAACCCTGCCATATCAGCTCGTGTTCCTCCTATCATTTTCCCTTCCCAGCAGCCCTTACTTTCCACAGCCTGCGAAGAGCTAAATATACAAAGCACAGCACTTGAAGGAGCCATGTGTCACTCTGTGGAGCACAGCTCCACCTGTTTGCCAGGCCAGAACACCGAGTTTGAAAGAGGGACTACAGGTGCCCGAGCAAACAGCCAGTTATGAGCAGCAATTGCACACAATGAGCAATGAGTTACTCAGATGGGACGCCGTTCTTGGAAAATTAAAAATGACTAGCCTGGGATTACCTTTCTCCTGAGGAGGGCACATCTTCATAATGGCACAAAAAAAGTGTCGCTCAGCTGTTGCCCTCAAAATCCCTGGCCACAGGCCTGCAACGAACATGGCCACCCCACTTCCCTTTCCAGCCTTGTCTTTTTTACTTCACTCGCTTTGCCTTAAGTCTCTCTATGTTCTTACAACTTTGCTTCCCCTGGAGAAAAGCCTAATCCTCTCCCCATCCCCCAACACAACGCAATTCCTTCATCAGCCAAGCCAAATCCTCCGTGACCCCCGGGGTGACGTGAGGTAAACGTGCAGGCACCTTCACCCCTGAGGCAGCCATCTTCTGGGGATCGGGGCGATCCTCACGGCATTCCCTGCGGTCTTTCCTCACCCCTGAGGGGAAAGAACCACAGCCATACCCGCAGCCGGCAGGGGGGGGCCCAGCCGGGGGGGGGGGGCGGGGGCCTGGGGGGG